CATAAGGCAGAGGTGGCGGACTTGGTGGCCTCGTATGACCGATATTCAGTCACTACCACCTGGAGTGTGGAGGCAGCGTCCAGGGGATGAGTCGCTGCACCAACTCTTCTTGCCTGACACCTGTCGAGATCCCGTGCTTGATCCAGGCTTCCTCACATTCCCGGCTGTGCGTCTTGCAGACGTCAATCTCCTCCGACAAACTCTTCAAACGTACAAAAAAGTCGTCAAAGGATTCATTCTCCGGCTGCTTGCAGCTGGTGAAGGCGCGGCGATGCAAAGCCTCGTTATTCCGACCTTTAACGTGCTCCTGCAAAAGGTCGAGCACATCCGTCACTGATGACGTAGAACCGGGAGGCACTTGCAACGTGTGCTCCAAAACTCTCTGGGTCTCCAGCGACAAACACATCCGCAGTTGGATAAGCTGTTTGTTTGGGGGCATGATATCGAGGTCCACCATCGTGGAGTAATCTGTCCACTGCCGCCTCCACTCACGAAAAAGCTGAAACGTGACTTCTGGTGAGAGGGCGGGTGGGGGTTGAACAGATTCCTTGGGAGCTGTTGGAGTAGCAAGATTGCCTGGAGGACGCTGGTGTGGTGGAGGAGGGAGGGTATTGGTGCCTTGATGCGCGCTACCTGCGAGTGAGGGAGGGTGGGTTAGTTACAGGGTCGCCAATATTGCTTCAAAGCGCGCCTTTTCCTCCTCTTCGTATCTCCTCCCTCTGAAGTTCCATTTCTCTGCTTCTCTCGTCCCTGTCGTCCGTCCACCTCAGAATTGTGGCAATGTCCGTCGCTGGAGGTGAAGATCCATCTGTGCCCGGTAGAGGAGAAGGTGGGGAGTCGTGTCTCCCATCTTGATGTTGTCCCTTCTTACCGCCCATCTTAGTATGCTTGAACTGCACTGTTTAGTATATAAAGTGGCGCCTCATCAGCTCGAACCACATATATATGACGTAAACAGCGCAGAAATAACGCATAGTCCACTGTTCTGTCAGTGTGTGTGTGAGAGAGAGCAGATCGTGGTGGCCTTAATACGGGTGGCTAGAGCCGCCATGGAGGTGAGAATGTTAGTGTCTCCCCAGGTGTCACACGAGAAGGGTGTACGCCTGCGTGCTCCGTGGGTACCACAAAAAACAGGCCAATGCTCAACTCTCGGCTCTAGACACACTAATACACTGACACTAACACTGCCACCGTCACTAAAACGCACTGTGATGGCGCAACACTGCAAGTCGCGGCGAAACACAACACAACACAGTCGACGAACATCACCGGCAGACATAACTGTCTCGGCATTGTTTACAACACTTGTAAGTCCACAGATCCTACTCACTGTGCCATGAAGGTTCCAAGTGTTCCCTGAAGAAGGCAGTGATGGGTAGGGAAACACCGGGTCACACTGAAGTCGATTTATTAACGGATGGGAGAAATACAAGTAGTGACTAGCGTGTGCCTTGCACGTCCCACAGAGTCAGACTGAGGCTGCCTTGCCATATGGCAGCCTCGGGGCAATGTTGCCACATAACACGTGCAGTGTTGCCACGTAATTACATATATAAATGCTACTCGGCACAGTAGCTTATATACAAGGTTGCTACTCGGCACAGTAGCTTAGATACATAACCTACAGTTGGGACGTATGGTACGCCTCCTTACCGATGGTACGCCCCAGTTGCATCCTCTTACACTTCGTGACATTGAATCTTAGCAGCCATTTCTTCGACCATTCTTGGAGCTCACTGAGATCCTTCTGCAGCTCTTCACAGTCTGCATGGATCTTGACTTCCCGAAATAAAATGGCGTCATCGGCAAACATTTGTATGGAGGAGTGTACACCATCAGGCATGTCATTTATGAAACAAACAAACAGCGGGCCCAATACACTGCCCTGTGGTACCCTGCTTGTGACAGGAACGGATGATGTTTTCGTGCCATTAATCATCACACACTGCTTGCGGTCATGTGGGAAGTCTTCTATCCACGTTAGGACATTCCCCGAATTCCGTATCCTTCCAGTTTGATTTTCAGATTTTAGTCTGGTACACTGTCGAAAGCCTAGCAAAATCTAGGTATATATTGTTGATATTACCACCCTGTTCCAGAATATGGGTCCAAATATCCAATACCTTGAGCAATTGTGTTAAGCAGGAGCGCTCTGGCATAAAACTGTGTTGGCAGCCTTTACAAGGTTGTTTCGTAGTAGGTGTTCCATCGCTGCATCTCTGAGAATTACCTTTAGCTTTGACAGTTTATTTCTAATACCCTCTTCTATTAACAAGAGCGGAGTCTTGGCAAAAATGTTCACTTGACCTCATAATTGGCTTTCATTACTGAAGGATATTTACAGCTATACCACATTAATAAGGTCTATCTGCAAGTTTATTCACCCATAAAAAAAATGTACCATAAATCTGGACAAAATAAATCTTCTATTTTGGTACAAATTGCTTGAAAAGTTGTAAGACAAGAGCTGCGTCTCTTCCATTCAGCGAGAAATTCTTAGCGCAAAAAATGAGCTAAAAAGACAAACTGGAACATCGTATTTTAGTTTGTTGATGTACAAAAAATTTTCTTCATTATTCTATGATAAAACAAGTCTAACAAGCATTATTACAACATATATTAATTTTTGTTATGCAATTGGGAAATGTGACTACTATATCAGGGTTGTTCGTGTTACGGCACCTAAGGTGTTGTAAGTTATGGGCTAGATTACGGGCGTACTTAGGAGTCCGCTGCCAAATATTTTTTTCAAGTATACCGATCGGAGACTGTAAGTCCAGTTATGGGTAAACAAATAGACAGTCCCGTAAATGTTTTTCAGTATGCGGCCCCTGGACAAGTTCGCCGAGACACTACGGGACAGTTGAAAATTATCTTATTGGTGATATTGCTTATATTAATAATTATTTATTTATTGTATGGGGTCCTATAATGTTTCATCGTGTAATCATTGGAATATTTTTTACTATAAATATCTATACAGTAAATATTCGTCCGTTGGCTGTCCGTAGGTTCCTGCCGTGTTTACCCAAATTCAGGTTGTAAGTTGAAAATGCAAAAAATAATACTTAGAAAATCTAAAATTAAAGACAGTATAGTAAAAGTAGTCAATAATGAAGAATGGATACAGTGTGACTGTGCACTTACTTTTAATGTAGTCAGCTGAATGCACACGGGGCCCCAATAATTTTTTAATTATACATGGAGACTACATTAACTGGATGAAACAGGAGGAGACAGGGCTGGGTGGGTCATCAATGTCTCTTTCTTCAGACAGGTTAACATAAAGGAGATCCTTGCTTGTTGAAGGTATTGGATCATCTTATTGGAGTGAAGAGGCAGCACTGGTGGGGCGTGAGGAGACAGAAATGGGGGACTTCTTAAAATATATGTCCAATTTAGACTACACAGTTTGCTTTTTCTTTTCATTATAAATCTCCCTGTAGCAAGCAAGTGCATCTTGGACCATTCTGTCAACTTTGGCAAAACACTAAACATTTTGATCCATTCCTTCAAACATTTGCATTCCCTTATTGATAGTAACAAATGCCTCTGCCACTTGTTTCACTGAAAACTTTTAGGGGATGCAGATTCTTCTTCTACATTTAGACTTAGCTCTTCTGCTACACTTTCAACCAACTGTTCAACATCTTCATTATCATTTCTAACTCAAGCTGTTTACCCAACTCCACAATCTTGTTACTAATCTCAGAACATGATTTCATCTACATTATTCCTTTGAAACTGTTCACATATCTTTAAAGGACTTTCTTCCATATTCCATTCATGCACTGACCTGTAACCTCATGCCATGCTGCAGCTATGTTCTTTATACATGTCAAAATGTTGTTGTCCTTCCAAAAGTGTGTGAGTGTTTTCTCACCTTCAGTAGCAGCAACAGCCTGAGCGAAGGTCGTACGTAAATAATTAGCTTTAAAAGCTGCAATAGTGTAAGAGTGGGTGCTGTTACTACTTACTGCTGAGCCACCGAGGCCACCAATTTGTAAGAGCAGGGAAAGAACAACGGTGAATACTATAGGTGAATCATAGACTCACATACAAATACACTGTTTATTGAAACACAAAAATAGTTACAGAAAAGATGCTGCATGCACCCAAAATAGGAACTCCTGGTACCCTGCCCTCAGGCTCAATTTACTTGCACCACTACTGGGTGTACCCACACCATAACACATATAACCCTTACACCCCCCTCACTTGATGAAGTATTTTTTGTAACCAGGATATAGGTACAGTACATGTGCACAACCTATATGTGCACGCTTAGAAACTGGAGTGATGGTTGAGGAGGCATGACTGTAGCAAGTTTCAACGAATGGCAGCACAGTATGGCAATGACAGTAAATTAATGTGATTCAGTACGAGCGGACAAACTGGGATAGCAGATTGGGGGGGGGGGGTGGTGCGGCCTGGCTGAGTAGCTCACAAACTCCTCTGTGCATCTGGCTGGGAATTTTCCGAAAGTGTGCACCCCGGATAATTAATCGTTCCCAAAGCCACACTTTTCCAGGAATTTACGGGTTTGAGGAATTCTGCGTGATGGATATATTACTGTATGTTGTCATTTTGGTCATCCACCGAATTTTAGGATTTTAAGTTTAGGTCAAGATGGTTGAAATTATCTGTTTCTGGTAGTTTATGACGTGTTTTGAACAATTGTGATCTACGGTTCTTCCAAATAGTTGGATTACTAAAACAATAATTTTATCCCATAACTTATTAAGAAACCTAACCTAACCAACAAATGATCATTGATAATTATGATTTATTTACCCCCAAACTTATTAAACCTAACCTAACCAACAACGGGTGGCTAATGATTATGATATTATTTACATGTCTAATTTTTGCAGGTGTTATTGTTACCATGGAGCCTAATGTGTAAACGATCATGGTGGCGGAGCTCTCATTGGGGGAAATAAGGGACCACCTGCCTCCTAACAGGGTTCACACGGAGTTGGAGCAAGGCAAGCAACCAACAAATACTGCGGTGTTTACCGTATTGTAAGTCTTATGTCACTGTTGGTATCTCACTGTTGTTTCAAAAACTGTTAGTGAAATGTATGTTGTTCATTATATGGAGGTTTAGCAAACCCTCGATATAACACCCATGACTATTACACTGTGTACCTAGCCAACAAACAGTGTACTTCAGTGTTCCACCCATGACTATTACACTGTGTACCTAGCCAACAAACGGTGTACTTCAGTGTTCCACCCATGACTATTACACTGTGTACCTAGCCAACAAACAGTGTACTTCAGTCTTCCACCCATGACTATTACACTGTGTACCTAGCCAACAAACAGTGTACTTCAGTGTTCCACCCATGACTATTACACTGTGTACCTAGCCAACAAACAGTGTACTTCAGTGTTCCACCCATGACTATTACACTGTGTACCTAGCCAACAAACAGTGTACTTCAGTGTTCCACCCATGACTATTACACTGTGTACCTAGCCAACAAACAGTGTACTTCAGTGTTCCACCCATGACTATTACACTGTGTACCTAGCCAACAAACAGTGTACTTCAGTGTTCCACCCATGACTATTACACTGTGTACCTAGCCAACAAACAGTGTACTTCAGTGTTCCCATGACTATTACACTGTGTACCTAGCCAACAAACAGTGTGTACTTCAGTGTTCCACTCCATGACTACACTGTGTACCAGCAACAAACAGTGTACTTCAGTGTTCCACCCATGACTATTACACTGTGTACCTAGCCGTAAACGGTGTGCTTCAGTATTCACCGCGGCTATTGCTGCTGTGCCCTGGCCAACAATGAGGTATGCTTCAGTATTCACCATGACTATTACCTGTGTACCTGGCCAACAAACAGTGTGCTTCGGTATTGGCCACCGCGGCTTCAACCGCCCTTGCCTGGCCAACAAACAGTGGCTGATGTTCACCGCGAAGCTATTACGCTGTACCTGGCCAACAAACGGTGTCATGCAGTGTTCACCGCGGCCTGGCCACACTGTGTACTGCCTGGCCAACAAACGGTGTGCTTGATATTCCACCACCCAGGCTAGCCACGCATGTACCTGGCAGCAAACGGTGTGGCAGTGGTTTCCACCGCGGCTTCAACACACTGCATGCCTTCAACAAACAGTGGCTGATGTTCCACCCGCACGACTGTACACTGTGTACCTGGCCAACAAACAGTGTGCTTCAGTATTCCACCACTTATTTCCTTACACTGTCTGGTACCCCTACCTCGCCAGGTCTCAGAGACTGTGTAATATTCACTCCTTCCAGCTTTTACCTGAACGTGCCAGGTATATTGGCTTATATCATATAATATATATTGAGCTGCTATATACACTACTGTAGGTTGAGCTGCTATATACACTACCTTAGGTTTGAGCTGCATATACGCACTGTAGGTTGAGCTGCTATATATATACACTTTCTGTGATTGAGCTGCTATATATGCACTACTGTGGGTTGAGCTGCTATATACACTACTGTAGGTTGAGCTACTATATACACTACAGAGTTGAGCTGCTATACACTACTGTGGGATTGGCTGCTATATACACTGCACCTTGGTTGAGGCACACTATATACACTACCTTGGGCAGACTGCTATAACACACTACTATGGTTGAGCCACTATATACACTACTATGGGTTGAGCTGCTATACTTACACTACCAGCAAGTTGAGCTGCTATATACTACATGAGTTGACTACTTTATATACACTGCTGTAGGTTGAGCTGCCTTATACACTACTGTGGTTGAGCTGCTATATGCACTACTGTGGGTTGAGCTGCTATATACACTACTGTGGGGTTGGGCTGCTGCATATACACTACTGTGGGGTTGAGCTGCTATATATACACACTACTGTGGGGTTGAGCTGCTATATACTACACTGCCTTGGGGTTGGTGCTATATACACTACTGTGGGGTTGGCTGCTATATGCACTACTGTAGGTTGAACTGCTATATATGCACTGCATAGGTTGAGCTGCTATACTCACTACCTTAGAGTTGACTACTATATACACTACTGTGATTGAGCTGCTATATACACTACTGTGGGGTTGAGCTGCTATATACACTACTGTAGGTTGAGCTGCTATATACACTACTGTAGGTTGAGCTATATATACACTAATGTGGGTTGAGCTGCCTATACCACTACTGTAGTTGACTGCTGCTTATGTACCTGTGGGTTGAGCTGCTATATACACTGTGGGGTTGGCTACTATGCACACTACTATGGGTTGAGCTGCTGTATACACTACTGCATGGGTTGATGCTATATGCACTGCTGTAGAGGTTGAGCTGCTGTATACACTACTGTGGGTTGAGCTGCTGTGCCACTACTGTGGGTTGAGCTGTGTATACACTGCTGTGGCTTGAGCTGTAGTATGCACTACTGTGTGTGAGCTGCTATATACACTACATGAAGTTGGCTGCTACTGCCTGCACTACTGTAGGTTGAGCTGCTACTATACACTACTGTTGGTTGGCTGCTATATACTACTGTAGGTTGAGCTGCTATGCCTGCACTACTGTGAAGTTGAGCTGCTATATATACACTACTGTGGGTTGAGCTGCTATATGCTACTGTGGGTTGAGCTGCTGCCTGCACTGCTGTAGGTTGGCTGCTATACACTACTGTGAGTTGGCTATACACTACTGTGAGATTTGAGCTGCTATATACACTGCAATGTTGAGGCTGCTGCTATGCACTGCTGTGGGTTGGCTGCTATATACACTACTGTAGGTTGACTGCTATATACACTACTGTAGGGGTTGAGCACCTTTATACTTTTTCTACTGTGGGTTGAGCTGCTACTTATACACTGCTGTGGGGTTGAGCTGCTATATATACACTGCTGTGGGTTGAGCTGCTATGCACTGCAGCAGGTTGAGCTGCTATATACACTACTGTAGGTTGAGCTGCTATATATACACTACTGTAGGTTGAGCTGCTATATACCTGCACCTTGGGTTGAGCTGCTATATACACTACTGTGGGGTTGAGCTGCTATATACACTACTGTAGGTTGAGCTGCTGTATGTTGAGCTGCTGCATACCACTGTAGGTTGAGCTGCTATATACGTAGTATACACTACTGTAGGTTGAGCTGCTATATACACTACTGTAGGTTGAGCTTATATACACTACTGTAGGTTGAGCTGCAGTATATACACTACTACCTATATTCTCTTTTGGATGGCTAATATCGACTGGAAGTTATAAAGTGGTAGACGGAACACCGCAATTTAAGGATGATGTTAAGAGAAGGTAAGTTTATACATAATCTCAACTTAGTTATCCTTCTGACATAACCTAAAGTAACGTACCTAACCAATAATCTAACAACATTAACCTAACCCAACATTAACTAACCTCAACATTAACCTAATCTAACATTAACCTAACCTAACATTAACCTAACCTAACATTAACCTAACCTAACATTAACCTAACCTATAACCTAACCTAACCTAACATTAACCTCCAACATTAACCTAACCTAACATTAACCTAACCTCAACATTAACCCAACCCAACATTAACCTAACATAACATTAACCTAACATAACATTAAACCCAACCATTAACCTAATCCCATTAACCTAACCTAACCTAACATTAACCTAACATAACATTAACCTACCCAACATGAACCTAACATAACATTAACTTAAACCAACATGACACAATCAATTATAACAAATACTAACATGACACACCCTAAAGACGACACAACCCTAACACGACACAATTTTACACTTATTACTAATTCTTAAAGACTACACACCTAAGACGACACACCTCAAAGATAACATTCTTAAGACGAAACACTCCTACGACAACATGCTACTTACATATTCCCAAGACAGGCACCCTTGTTACGACACACTTTACATTTACACACCTGACACGACACACCTCTGACACGACACACCCTGACACGACACACACCCGGACACGACACACCCCACACGACACAATTCCCGACACGACACACACACTTATACACCTGACATACACCCCAAGCCGACACACCCCAAGCCCTCACACACCCCTGACGCCACACACCCAACCCGTACTAATTCTAACACGACACACCCTAAGCCGACAATATAAGCCGACACCGCCTAAGACCCTGCTTACATTGGACACACCCCAACACGACACACCCCAACACTGTAACGGGCCGAATTTTCTCTTTTCATAATTTACCATCCAGATATTCTTTTCTGTTATGATTCATCAATTCTTTGGTTCTAAGTATATTTTAGATTCTTATACAAGTAATTCTCTTCTCAGTTATGTATGTTCTTTATCTTAAACTTTCATGATGTATATATTTAATAATTTCTATGCGGTGTCGTTAGTTCCACAATGTATATACCTGTCTTATCTTTCTCTTCTTGTACTTTCCAAGTCTTTCATTTCATTCATATACATTATATTCTCAGTTTCAATGTTCTTACCTTTCTGAAGTATACTTTGTTTTTTGTCATTCTTATACATGGGTTAGTCTGAGGAACCATGTTACTCTTAGTACAACACTTTTTATACTTACAAAGGGTAGCTCCCACCACCCAGACTTTTCATTATATAACATAACTCCTGGAAGGGTTTTGGGTAGTGTGGTAGATGTATAGGCACGTGAGTAAGTATTATTTTCTGGGAACCAATGTGTAGAAGGAGTTTACTAATTCAATATTTATTAACAAGTGAGTGGAGAAGATGCATCTTAGATTCACTCAGGCTAAACAGAACCGCAATTAACTTATTAAGTCCTCAAACGCTTCAAGAACTTATTACCTCATTCAACACCTCCAAATACTCATTACTTCGAGACAATTGGGATATCATTACCTTGACACATGAGATTTTGTAACTATTATTCACAAGCCATCACTGGACCCTCAGGTCTTACTTTAACAAGTAACAAATTACCTCTTCACTTCTTGATCAGAACATTATACTCTCAGGTTATTCTTTCATGGTTACTACAGATGAATATATAACACACTGGACCACTCCACAATAATAGCAACATACAATATTTCTTATCAGTTCACAAGGAACCACCTGGTACCTTGAATTCTCATTCAGTGGTTCAATACTTAACCCGGGATACTATATTTCTGCTAGTTATCCCTCCAAACATGGGCTGACACTGCTCCATGCAAATAGATCAGGTACAATTTCCAGTTGGAGTCAGCGGGCACATTTGTTTACAGCGACCGCCAAGCTGAAGGCTCGCTCACTAGGTGTACCCAGGGAGGTTGGCTCGTGACAAACTGGCAGAGTGTTCAGGGCGCTTCCCGGGGGAATAGTGTCCTGGGATTCTAAACGCGCCCCCTTAGAGACATTCTTCAAGAACCATCTTGCCCATAGGTAGCTACCGTCCCTCAGGAGAGTTGCTAACACACCAGCGTCTGGAGATACGTTGAGGAAGAGTCACGAATGCGTCAATAATTAACTTCAACTATACGAAACATACGTCTGGCAACGGTCCAGCCGATATCTAAATCTCTACGTTACTCGACTTAATTGGCACAGAAGTTACTATGTTAACACATGAACACTGATATTCACAAAATTGACTAAGTTAAACTGAATTAATAGGCGGCGGGGAACACACGTGAACATACCTGGAGATACGTTGAGGAAGAGTCACGAATGCGTGATTCTCCCTCGTGTAGAGGTATATACGTGCACCGGCGGGGCAGCTTGGGCCTCCGTATTCATACCAGAAAGGTCGATCTTACCAACAACATACCTTCTCTACCATTTTTGATTACCGTATACTTGGTTATGAACTCCGGTGTACCTGATCAGGGTAATTTCCTATGTCTATTCATATAATCTAATCAGAGGTTGAGCTTGCCAGGAAAAGGTGGAATATACACGTTGATAACATCAATTCTGCAAACAAGGACCTATTCACAGGGAGACGTTAGATCTTGGAGATTATACCGGTTGACAGAATAATTCAGGAAATTAATGTCTTTCTTAAATAGACAACTGACACTAACTAAACTATAAACATCAGATTCTCTGATGCCGGGGCGACAAAATACTACAACTTCAGTAGCGATCAGAAACTCATGGGTATCCCCACGGACGACCTAAAATACGCCACTCTAGCTGGCAAACTCATCACTCGCTTACTTCACACGTCTTACTAACAATAAGGACAGTTGAAGCGTTCAACACCACTCACAATGGATCTTGAATGTTCCAACTGTAAACAGACATATCTAGTTGATTCAAAACAAGGGTGTTCTCTCTCACATTCAAATTCGTTTTATCGAGAGGTTGGTTTCAGTAAGTCAGAGAAAATGGGATAACGGAGGACTGAGGTGTCTTGAAGTGATGAGAAAACGGACTCCTCAGATGGAGGACTCAAAATAAAAGCAGAGTCACATGTTTTGTGGGCTATTGAGCGTAATATGAATCATTTGATTTTGGCGTTAACTGACGTGTATGACCGTGGTCGTTACAACACAACACACCCTAATGCTAACTTAACATTAACACAACACACCTAATGCCAACTAAACACAACACTAACACTGTATGTATTTCTTCATATACACATTGTGGTAAGATAAGTTTGTTTGTTTGTTTCAGTCAACCCAACTGAAGAAATGGGCAGTGCATTGGAAGTGATGTTCCATGAAGACTTGGCCCTTGGTGTAGATGAGCATCTTAAGAAGATACAAGAAGACCAATGGCTCATGGTATGTGGTTATAGACTGCAAAAAAGAACTTTGTACGTGGGAATGGAGGGCAGTGTACGAATTTTTTATGTCCCCTCCCACAGCAGTCCACTGCCCTACAGAAATATAATAACAATTTGGGAGTGTAGGCAAAACATTAATAAAAGAATGATGTATGGAGTCATTGAGGAGGTGCTCAAGCACCCATAAATTACGAAAATCGGACCACGCCACACACTACTGTCTCTTGTAGATCCCACGTGCCTGCACCCCCGCGCCGACCAAGACACATCTTTATCAATGATCCCTGCAAAGTGAAGCTCCGCGGCACTGTGGAGAGAGGGCAGATTATTAGGACAACTGATATGATGGTACGTTGATGACCCAGTGTGTGTACTGTACATTGTGAACAACAGCTCTCTAACTTGTGTACAATTATCTAAACTAACTGAGGTTAGGTTAGCATTAAGGGGTTTAATCATCAACTGGGGTGTACAGTAACCTTCACTCCCGAGGCAGTCTTAGTGTTTAATCATCAGCTGAAATAAACTGGGGTGCCTAATCTTCACCTGAGCCTATCTTGTTGTTGTTGTTCAGTGAAGGAAAATTATTTATTTATTTATTTATTTATTTCAGGTGGAGTTCTACGGTAGCAAATATGTGGCTAAGGTTTTTTCGGCCGCATCAGTAGTCAGGGTTAGTGGAAGCAGAAATGACTTCGAACCCATTACCGACTCGAAATATTACAGGAGAGTCCCTGGTAAGTGTACGACATACAGCTCGTTGAAATGTGGATGATCCGGATGTAGTTTTACCCAGATGATGTGGATGAGTGTTTCTGAATCTGTGTCAGCTAATATGTTGATTCCTGACCCTTCAACTACTTTCTGTGTACTGCCCCAAACTACTGTACTGTCCCCACACTGAACTGTGTCACTGCCCCACACTACTGTACTGTGTCACTGCCCCACACTACTGTACTGTCCCCACACTGTACTGTGTCACTGCCCCACACTACTGTACTGTCCCCACACTGTACTGTGTCACTGCCCCACACTACTGTACTGTCCCCACACTGTACTGTGTCACTGCTACTGTACTGTGTCACTGCCCCACACTACTGTACTGTGTCACTGCCCCACACTACTGTACTGTGTCACTGCCCACACTACTGTACTGTCCCCACACTGTACTGTGTCACTGCCCCACACCACTGTACTGACTGTACTGTGTCACTGCCCCACACTACTGTACCACCACTGTACTGTGTCACTGCCCCACACTACTGTACTGTGTCACTGCCCCACACTACTGTACTGTCCCCACACTGTACTGTGTCACTGCCCCACACTATTGTTGCCACACTGTGTGTCACTGTACTGTGTCTCCACACTGTACTGTGTCACTGCCCCACACTACTGTACTGTCCCCATACTGTACTGTCACCGCCCCACACCATTGTACTGTCCCCACACTACTGTACTGTGTCACTGCCCCACACACTGTACTGTCCCCACACTGTAGTGTCACTGCCCCACACTATTGTGCTGTCCCCACACTATACTGTATCACTGCCCCACACCACTGTACTGTGTCACTGCCCCACACCATTGTGTCCCCACACTACTGTACTGTCCCCACACTACTGTCAATGCCCCACACTATTCTACTGTCCCCACACTGTACTGTCACTGCCCCACACCACTGTACTGTGTCACTGCCCCACACTACTGTACTGTCCCCACATTGTACTGTGTCACTGCCCCACACTACTGTACTGTCCCCACACTGTACTGTGTCACTGCCCCACACCATTGTACTGTGTCACTGCACCACTGTACACACTGTACTGTGTCACTGCCCCACACACTGTCACTGCCCCACACCACTGTACTGCCACATTGTACTGTGTCACTGCCCCACACTATTGTACTGTCCCCACACTGTACTGTCACTGCCCTACACTACTGTACTGCCCCCCCCACCCACACTGTACTGTGTCACTGCCCACACTGTACTGTGTCTGCCCCCACTATTGTACTGTCCCCACACTGTATCTGCCCTACACTGTACTGTCCCCACACTGTACTGTGTCACTGCCCCACACTATTGTACTGTCCCACACTGTACTGTCACTGCCCACACTACTGTACTGCCCACACTGTACTGTGTCACTGCCCCACACTATTGTACTGTCCCCACACTGTACTGTGTCACTGCCCTACACTATTGTACTGTCCCCACACTGTACTGTGTCACTGTCCCACACTACTGTACTGTCTCCACACTGTACTGTTTCACTGCCCCACACTGTACTGTGTCACTGCCCTACACTATTGTACTGTCCCCACACTACTGTGTCACTGCCCCACATTATGTACTGTCCCCACACTGTACTGTGTCACTGCCCCACACTACTGTGTCACTGCCCCACACACTTGTACTGTCCCCACACTGTACTGTGTCACTGCCCTAATGTTGATATTACTGGAGGAAACAGCACAATAATATTTGTCATTGTCGTGTTTCCACAGATCTGGAGAAGGCGGAAATAACCTGCCTGAGAGAGTGGTGGGCCTCTCACCACCATGAACTTTTGTCATGGGTGCAACAGAGGGACCCCTCTCAACAGGTGGCCCAACCACCAAGGTGCTTATCTTTCAATAGTTGAACAAGTTATTTCTTTGTAATAATAATATAGTCACTCCACATATTGTAATGTTATATATTTTCTTGCCAGTTGTCGTATGGCTGCTGTGATTGGCAGGTCATTATTATCAATAATTTTCCATAAGGATTGACCACTCAAGTGTGGTTGTGTTGTTTTGCAGGGTGCAGGACAGTGCCAGGGTGCAGGACACTGTCAGGGTGCAGGACACTGTCAGGGTGCAGGACAGTGCCAGGGTGCAGGACAGTGCCAGGTTGCAGGGTGGCCGTGATCATCCCACCAAAAGAATTAATCCATCACCCAGTGGGTCGACTACACCTGCTAAACGTAAGTGTTGAATTTTTCACGTTTTATTTTTTGTTTTCGTCATTAATTGGTCTTATTTTCCTCGCGTGTGTTGGTTAGGGTTGTCATGTCTGAACATTAAAAAAAAGAGGACGTTCCCGAAGACGACCCCCCCCCCCTACTCCCTGGCACACACTTTGGAGCTTATGTAACCTTGAAGCGTGACAGAAATTTTTATATATATATATATATATATATATATATATATATATATATATATATATATATATATATATATATATATATATATATATATATATATATATATATATATATATATATATATATAATCACATCCTAATCATTTAATTACGTGACTTCACGATTAATCAGAGAATTTTTTTTTTTTTTTTCCAAATGACACGATTTCTATACTAAAACGTTTCCAGTTAATGTAGTCTCCATGTATAATTAGAAAATTATAGATTCATGCATTCAACTGACATTTAAAGGTTGGTGCTCAATCACTGTAACCAATCCTTAACCACTTTTCACTGTACATATCATTCATCATTGACTATTTACTTTTACTGTATGTATTTCATTGCAGATTTTTATAAATTTTTTTTTTTTTTTATCTGTATGGACTTGACCATGTGAGACTTGACCTGGATTTGGGTCCCTAACCCCGTCGTAAGTCGGGGTCTAGGTGTACATATACATACCAGTATCGGTGTACTGTATTGCATTGTGTTTTTAATGTCGGCTAATATGCAACATACGTGGTATAGAAATCTTAAAAATAAAAAAATAAAAATTTCCTTTGCTTAAGGCTGAATATCTTCTTTAGCTGCAGTCTTCTTCCCCCACTGTGTGTGTGACTTTGTGCCCATGCATACTTTTCTGTAGATCGGATCTTTTTCAGTATTGGCTGATTGCTCTTTAGAAAGGTATAGAAGTCACTGCAAGATGTTTCTCAGAAGTTGTAATGTACAGTCAGAATGCCTTTCATTGTTTCAACACTCAATTTGTTCCTTTCCTTTGTCCATTGACTTTGCATCAGTGAAAAAACTCATTCTACATTTGCATTGTGAGATGATACTGTATAGCAAAGAAGAATTGTGCAATTCTTAGCAATTCTGAGTGACATTCAAAGTTCTTTGAGTTTTCAAAGTATTTGGTCCACTTTTTATGTGTTGGCAGATTACTAAATTCTTCATCACTTGTAATTTTCCACAAACTGCTTCAGGTTACTAACTTGGTCAAAACACTTCACATCATCAACTTTTACCCCCTTATCAATCAAATATTTGACAGCTAAGTTGACAACACTGTATAGGCATACACGTGACTTATCAGCTGACGAAAACTGAACGAGATGTCTCCGGTTTCCACCTCCCCTCTTTCTCATCATTACAGTTTCACGTTTTTTTTTTCCATGGAGAAAATAATGGAAGCTGAAATTCCGGATTTTTGAAGAATTTAAAAAGTTCCTTCCGGATGAAGATTTCGAGACCTAAATGGAGGAAATGTCCGGGAAAATACAGACGTATGGCAACCCTACTATTGGTATACGGAAGTCGATTATAGGAAAAGTACACTCTCAGCCTAACCTAACCCCTTGATGAGTGTGGTCTGGCAAATGTGGAAAAAAGTTTTAGAATGATTTATCCTCCGGGACGTACGACCGACTCTGCCTCCATCCAACACCGTGCGGCAGACGCGTACACGATCTTTTATTTAACAATATTGACAATGTTCAAATAGCCTTACACAAACTGTCAAACTCAGACCCAAGTAGAGTACAATTATACAAGACTATCAATGCAACTGTTGACACAATGTGTAATACAAAGATAAAGATGAACGAGTGGACACCAGTGAGAGTGGGTGGCCAGGAACATATGAGGCAGGGGCCATGCAGGAGGAACAGAGGCCATGGAGGAGGAACAGGGGCCATGGAGGAAGAACAGGGGCCATGGAGGAGGAACAGAGGCCATGGAGGAGGAACAGGGGCCATGGAGGAGGAACAGGGGCCATGGAGGAACAGGGGCCATGGGAGGAGACAAGGGCCATGGAGGAGGAGGGAGGAACAAGGGGCCATGGAGGAGGAACAGGGCCATGGAGGAGGAACAAGGGCCATGGAGGGGGAGGAACAGGGGCCATGGAGGTGGGGGCCATGGAGGAGGAGGAACAGAGGCCATGGAGGAGGAGCAAGGGCCATGGAGGAGGAACAGGGGGCCATGGAGGGAGGAACAGGGGCCATGGAGGAGGAACAGGGCCATGGAGGAGGAACAGGGGCCATGGGAGGAACCCAGGGGCCATGGAGGAGGAGAACAGGGAGCCATGGAGGGAGAAGACAGAGGCATGGAGGAGAACAGGGCCATGGTGGAGAACAGCAGCCATGGAGGAGGAACAGGGCCATGGAGGAGGAACAGGGGGCCATGGAGGAAGACAGGGGCCATGGAGGGAGGAACGGGGCCATGGAGGAGGAACAGGGCCATAGATTGTGTTCATGTGGTGTTATTCAGTTGGTGAAGAGTGCCCATAACTTGTGTGATTAATGGTGGCTCTTATGACACAATTATTAACTCAACACATCTTATTGCTGGGTTCAAACAGCTGCCTTTATCCCAACAGTTCAGGGAGTGAAGGTTAACAATTATGCTCTGTATAAAAGTTTAAAATGACAACCAAATTACCATAATGAGGTGTGTGGGTTCATAACAAACAACTAATATATAAACAATAAACTATTTTGTAATATTAATTTACACCCGCAAATAATAGAGACAACACTGGATAGTTTAATACTTAACTAAACCCAATTTGAAAAGGTATCACACCACTGACAAACTGAGACATCCTTCCACCTCCAAAGGCCAGCCAGTGACTGACTTGGCTCCATACTTCTCAGGAACCAATATTAATAAACTCCCACATTATGCTACAAAAAATGCCTTCATACATACAGAAAAATATTTGATGTATCAAATACCAGCCCTGCTCTCACATCATTATATACAATTATATTTACATAGCAGGGTGAAATATATTTCACTGTACACAATCGTACCCATTCATAACAACACACCATCAATATAATTATTTCAACTATTTGGAAATCTGTTAACTTCTGAAGAATGGATTATGAAACTGTTTGTTGTGCAGTTCATCTATTAACCATGTATATAGTTACAAATCCAGCCATTTATGTGTTTTAGTTTATTTACTTTCGTGGTTTTTTTTGTATTTACTTGTTGAATCGGTGAACTTTTTATTAATGTTTGGTCTTTTTAAAACATTTTGGACCATTTTATTGTATGTAAAAATTTTAGTGTAAACCTGTATATTAATAATTTATGATCATTAAAACATCAATCTATCTACAGGGCATATATATGCCTCCTCCATTTGACCTGGAAGCCTCTCAAGGCAGAGGGAGCAATGTCGGCCGTAACAAATTTTAAGTCACTATATTGTTCTGCTGCTGCCTTCTCTTCCTCCTCCTATATCCTTCTCTCCCTCCTCCTATATCCTTCTCTCCCTCCCTATCCTTCCTACCCTCCTCCTATATCCTTCTCTCTCCCTCCTCCACTATATCCTTCTCTCCCCTCCTCCTATCCTCTCCCCTCCTCCTATATCGCCTCTCCTCCTATATCCTTCTCTCCTCCTCCTATCCTTCTCTCCTCTGTCCTTCTCTCCCTCCCTATATCCTTCCTCTTTCCTCCTCCCCTATATCCTTCTCTCCCTCCTCCTATGTCCTCTCCCCTCCTCCTCTCCTTCTCTCCCACTCTCCTATATCCTTCTCTCCTCCTATGCTCCTTCTCTACTCCTGCTCCTTCTCTCCCTCACTCTGCTCCTCCTTCTCTCCCTCCTGCTCCTTCTCTCCCTCCTATAGCCCTTCTCTCTCCCTCCTCCTATCCTTCTCTCCCCTCCTATATCCTTCTCTCTCCCTCCTCCTACTCTCCTTCTCTCCCTCCCTCCTATATCCTTCTCTCCCTCCTCCCTACTCTCCTTCTCTCCCTCTATCCTTCTCTCCCTCCCCTCCCTATATTCTCTCCCCTCCCTATATCCTTCTCTCCTCTCCTATATCCTTCTTTCCCTCCTCCTCTCCTTCTCTCCCTCCCTATATCCTTCTCTCCCTCCTCCTATATCCTTCTCTCCCTCCTCCTATATCCTTCTCTCCCTCCTATATCCTTCTTTTCCCTCCCTATATCCTTCTCTCCCTCCCTATATCCTTCTCCTCCCTCCTCCTATATATTCTCTCCCTCCTCCCCTGCTCCTTCTCTCCTCCTCCCTACTGTCCTTCTCTCTCCCTCCTAAATCCTTCTTTTTCCCTCCCTACTGTCACTTCTCTCCCTCCTACCACTCCTTCCCCTCCCTCCTCCCTATCCCTTCTCTCCCCTCCTCCTGCCGCCTTCTCTCCCTCCTCCTATATCCTTCTCTCCCTCCTATATCCTTCTCTCCCCTCCTCCTATATCCTTCTCTCCTCCTATCCATATCCTTCTCTCCCCTCCTATATCCTTCTCTCCCTCCTATATCCTTCTCTCCTCCTCCTACTATCCTTCTCTCCCTCCTATATCCTTCTCTCCCTCCTATATCCTTCTCCTCCTCCTATATCCTTCTCTCGCTCCTCCTATATCCTTCTCTCCCTCCTCCTATATCCTTCTCTCCCCTCCTCCTACTCCTTCTCTCCCTCCTCCTATATCCTTCTCTCCCTCCTCCTATATCCTTCTCCTCCCCTCCTATATCCTTCTCTCCCCTCCTATATCCTTCTTTCCCTCCCTATATCCTTCTCCCTCCCTATCCTTCTCTCCCCTCCTCCTATATCCTTCTCTCCCCTCTCCTATATCCTTCTCCCTCCTATATCCCTTTCTCTCCTCCTATATCCTTCTCTCCCTCCTCCTATATCCTTCTCTCCCTCCTATATCCTTCTTTCCCCTCCTCCTATATCCTTCTCCCTCCTCCTATATCCTTCTCCCTCCTCCTATATCCTTCTCTCCCCTCCTCCTATCCTTCTCTCCCTCCTATATCCTTCTCTTTCCCTCCTATCCTTCTCCCTCCTATATCCTTCTCTCCCTCCTCCTATATCCTTCTCTCCC